CTGGTGACCTTGCTGGTGACCTGATGTTAACTTTTGCTTGGCAGAATTCCAACTCCTACATATAACTCAGCACAATGCTTACATAAATGTGAAACACATCCTAAGTTATGGATGAAAAATTGAAAAATATACGGATGAAATCAAAAGAAATGGACATTTCCAAGCATTTTGAAAAGACCCTTTCTACACAGAGGTCTCAAAGGTGGATATTCCACACAGCTTTTGAATGATGCAAACAACAACGCACTTTACCACTGCTTTGACGTAAAATGGTTATTTAACAGGGAATCGGTCATTGTTACTCATATCATGACTAACGTGGCAGCTTCTCTTTAGATTTATAAAAAAATTGTCATTTTGGGAGTTCAGTTCCACTGCGAGAATGCTCAGAGTTAAAAAAAAATGTCGACGAGGGCAGCAAACAAACTCTGAGGGAACAATAGCCGTATTATGACACAATCAAATCACAATATGGCTCCCGCCCCCCCAGTTTCTTGACCTTGCGGCCGTAATAGAGGGCTTTATAGAACAAGAACAGAGAAAAGACGGGCAAAGTAAGTTAGACGTCATTCTTGGCAAATGATCACCACCATGTGCATGAAATTCATCAGGACCTTACTTCAAATTGGGACAATTCAACTTAATCATACAATCATATGACCTTGTCTGACCAACATGGTAGATGTAAAAGCAATTCCAAGTCACTCTCATTGTCCAAGCTCTTTTAATTCACAGTCAAGTTCTCACACACACCAGGCATATTCAAATGAAATCTTGAAACAGTGGTATAACTGCAGAGCCGTAGTGTGATGTCATAAAAAACAAGCTTCTTTTGGATACTCATGATGACTTCGTTTTAATCTTGCTTGATAAGAAGGAGAACTTGAACCCGTGCTGTTGCGATCAGCAGCAATCTTTTAGTTTTTACCTGCTAGATTGTTTTAAATATAACTAAATTTCATAAAAAGTGAGATTGTAAATTACCAATGTGACTGATCTTTAACAATGGTTATGACCAGTTTTTGACCGGTGCACGACACTTTCAGATGTCTCACACCAGCACTGATGAAAACCTTAATAACAAGAAAACAATTTTCAATTCAGATTCTAGTTACTGACAGCTGATGGTCCACTTAGCACAAGCAAAGTGCAGGTGTCAAATGCAAAACCACAAGCGCAGAACAGACAGAAAGGCAAGAATGGAAAAGCTTAAGGGTAGGCTCCACAAAAAGTACTTATGTGAACACACGTTTGGACAAATTAAACATTTGACTTTTAAACTTCTGGGGGGCCTGCTTTGTCTGATTCTCGGCCATATCAACACGTGCTTGCTTTGTGCAAATGAGTAGAAAATGGGAAAAAAGACAACCAAGTACAGATGAGGGTTAAGATGTAAGTCAACAAAACTGGGGGTCACAAGAGAAATAAAGTCCTTCTCTGTCAGGGACTTCAGAAAGTACAAATCATCAGCTGTTGGTCAGTTTAGTGTTGTTCATCTTTCTGTTGACACGGGAGATGCTTAGTATGCAAGGGTACTTGAGGAAATACTTCAAATATTGGCCTCCTCTATTATTCAACACCAGATGTGGTTTCAAACAGTTTTGTACTCGAGTCAATCACAAGTCCTTTCAGAAGTCGACTAGGCAAGTCCTTTCACCAGACCACACAGATAGCTTGGAAGCATCAGGGTGAGCAGTGACAAAGCCTGTTGCATTAACAGCCTGCAACTTGGCTTAAGATTGAATGACTAATAATTCACTTGTGATAGGCTTGCAGGGAATTGCAGGGATTCGGGAGGAACTTGACTGTAGGTACATGTACAACTCTGGTTTCAAGGGCTAAAAGTGGCTGAAGGTTTATTGTGGCTGACAGACAGTGTCTGTACCCACCAAAAGTAAAGACTTCATCTTTCAAACTCACAGATGTACATGTACCTGAAACTTACATTTTTAACATACAGATTCCAGGTTTAACTCTTCAGTCCTTACGACTTTGCTCTTAATTTTACCCCTGCTTATCCAACATTTCAAATATTACTTAGCCCTAACCCCCTAGGGACCATTGAAATCCTGCACAACCTTGTTGGGTTAAGCATGGTTAGGGTTAGACTATTCCAGAATCATAAGTGATATCCCAAAGGGGGGAATATTTTTAAAAACTAATGACAGTCCTTCGGTAGGAACTCACCACCTGCATGCAAAAGTTTCTTCGCATTTGGAATGCGGAATGTGCAGGGTTTGCGCAACCAATTTCTGTTTGAATTCAAGGACTTCCTGTGTGTGGCAGGTGCATGCGTGAGCCCAGTTGAAAATTTTCTATAAGCCTGTCTTTCTTTTTTTTTTTGCTGGTGAGGGTGCATTTCACCTCCGGGTGAACTCAATGTTGGTTGCTTCTGTTCAGTGCAAAATGGATCTATGGAGTTGCCATTACAGCAATGGCTCCATAATTGCTTTCTTAAAAATGAGGTGCGTGAAGTGGCAAATCAAGACGTCCTATTGGTCGAAACATGTAACACAAGTATGCCTGCATGTAAAAGTGAGGCCAGAACAGTAAGGGCTCCTACTTCTGGTCAATGAATTACCAGTGTATCGTACAAATTCAAACAAAGATACTAATTCTGTCCATTTCTTGCTGAGAGACACATTCAACACAATTGGTAAGTTTATTCCAACACTTTTCAGTCTAGTCCACTGGGCCAAGTCAACTTATATTTGGTTTTACATGTATATGTAGAAAGTATCTTGGCACATTTAACTCTTCCAACACAAACAGTTTGGAGAGTTACTGAATGGATCTGTAATATAAGACTTTTAAAAAAAGTATCTCCCTCCCATTTTTTGTCAATTTCCATGGTATCATTTCACCACTAATGATTATACACAGAAGTATAAACTCAAAGAGTTGGTGCAGTCCCAAAATATCCAACAATTCTGTTATCCAACCCACCATTGATTACAAAGCTTCAATCACCAAGTCCAAGACAGGCCAAGGAAATTAATCAACATCATCTAACAGACTGAGCTACACACAAGTCTGGTTATCAGGAATGGCTATGTGGCCCATCACCTATGAACAAAAGAGGTCCTTGAGCTGAGTACTTGCAACTTGTATGGTACTGTTTCCTTATCTACATGTACACAAAGGCAGACAATGCTGCTACCAAGCTATTACACCACTATTATCCAGGCTATTTCTACTGCTTAATGATTATGACTACAGAACTCTGTTGCTTCTTAAACACAACCCTGCACAATATTTGTAAGGATAAGTACCGGTACATGGCATTCCTATTGAATTTGGTGAATATCAATCAAGATATACAATACATGATGTACGTAAGCACTGCTTACTATAGTGGACATTCCTTTGTTTGGGAGAATTAGGTAAAAGTTTACTCATTTTTGTTTCCTTGGCTGTTCTTCGTTTTGCTATGTATGCATACTTGTAGATAACCCCAACTGCCTTATATCTACAGGTAGGTACATGTAGAAACCTGTTCCTCAGAGAGGGAGCATTGTGTGGAGGTGAGCAAGTCCACACAATTTCTTTAACTACATGCGCTGTGTGGACATCTTTTGTTCTTGGGTCCACTCAAGGAATACAATGCCCGCGTGTATGCACTCATTCCTAGGTGGTATGTATTTTCACAGTAATTTTACATAAATCCAAGCTATAAGAAAATGCATCCTGCATCAACATGCATGACTCCATGTATAAAGAGGAGCATGTCGTGCTCCCTAACCTATATAAATGATGCAACATTTCCTTCTTGGATCAAGCATGGCTCAGGGAAAAAAAACTAACTTCTCTTCTCTTCAAGACCCAAGAGGCTCTCATGGATATGAAATTTTGAAATTGAAAAAAAAAACACCAAGAAAACAAGAAACGAAAGCAAAGCTCTTTGCGATCTGAAATGTCAAGGCCCAAGATCTTACATTTGTTGAAACAGCCATCGAAAAAGCCATTACAAGTCTCTTAAAGGCCTTCCTTGAATGGGCAGGCTACTGGCTTTACGCTGTAGCCTTGTTAGTCTGGCAACGGCAGTTTTTTCCAACTCACTAGGGAAACACAATGAAGAGGAATCCTCTTAATTTCTGTCTTCTAATGGATTAGAATTGCTTATATTGAAGCAATGGGTCTTGAAAGAATCATCTTAGTCACAATTGACATTGTCAATGTGGTAACTACAGTTATTGCTGCAAGTACAATGTGTACAAATGGTTATTGATTATGTTCAAATCAATGATAAAATTGAATACATTTGTACAGGGAGCATACAAGTCTTAAGCCACATCAATGATTGTTCCTTGATATTGGCACAGTAACCTTTCTGCTGTCCACTGCTGATCCAGGAAAGAACAGATCAAAATGCCACGCCCTCCCACACTTCGAAATTTATCTCTCAGGTCACTCCAGTTAATATCAGTACATTGACGCCTTTTTCTTGTTAAGCATAGCAGCCTGTTATCTAAGCCTGATCAAAGAATGTCCATAAACGCATATGTATGTAACTTTCAGAAAATAGTGTAACATCCAACAGAGGCACACGTCACCTTGCCCTTGGTTTCACAACTCCTCGCAACTCGGGAATTGTCAAATGTACAGGTAGTTTCAAAGGCCAAATTTCACCGAGTTCAACTCGAGTTCACAACTTAGTTTTCTAGACACAGCTTACCAGCAAGTTGTATCATAAAGCCATGTGAGTAACACAACAAATGTTCCTCAACAATAAATTCCAAAATCAGTTACCGGTATGATGTGGCTTCAACTCATCGCAATGGACAAGGTGTTTTTTGAAGTCAACTTCTGGTACTTAATTCCTTTTAAATTCTATGTAGGCAATGTAACAATACTTCTTATAATTGTCTGACTGTTTACATTTTTCACCATCACCACTAACCCTACTCACACTGATTGAATTCATGTCTTCCTACTAAAAAATCGTTAAGGAACAGAAGCCTCTAAGATGCTGTCAACTAAAGTTAATGTTTCCAACTTACCTTTAGTTGACTCCAGAGACAAGGAAGACGCCTCAGTGCTCCTGTCTAAAAACAGAAAGAGAACAAAAGAATTCACAGATTGTAACGTTGGAAGCATTCCACATTTTGTAGAAAGATGAAAACACATAAATCATACAAACAGACTGCACAAGTACGTTGGTAAAAGGTTCTTCTCATTCCTGCTTTCCAAAATCACAAAAATATCAAGGAAATAGTTTTTATTGTCTGATAATCCAAAATTAAGTTCCTAATTTTTTTGAATGTGTTTTAAATTGAATTTCAATCTAACTGAATTTCTGCCACTGAAGGGTGATCTACAGAAGAAATGTTAAACACCTCCAGCCCGATTTCTACCTAATTTCTCAGCATCAAAGTTTTGACTTTTGACTAAAACAAACTGTTGACAGATTCATGTTTAAGCTTTCAAGAGTGTTTCAAATAATATAACAATCCCTGTTATATCAGACATCTGACAGTCTGACACTGAATGGACAAAAGATTATTTCTAGAAAGCGGGACTTCAAGGGTTTGCAGGAGAGAAGAGTCAATTGTTAATTGAGATTTAAAGGTTGAAAGATTGATGGAGTAACCAAAGAAAGACTAATGCATTATTTTAGGGAGACTGCCAAGGCCTTTCAGTTCATAATAAAAGACCAAATATTTGACAAACAGCACAAGACTGTGTATAAATGACCGTTAATCTCACTGGACTGCTCGGACTGACAACAAAGAACAAGCAATTTGGGTAAATGTACCACAGTAGGGACTGAGCACAAGGTCACCGGGTCTCTATGAAAAAAAAAAAAAATAACAGTAGCAATATCATTTTGGCCGTTCTGAGCATTTGGCATTGTGTTCAAGCCCATGAAAAGCTAAATATACCAACAGAACAATGGTGCTCCACTGCGACCAACATCTGCTGGCTTTTACGGCACAGAGATCTGATTGGGCTAGACATTCAGGCATCATAACCAATTTTCCCCAGTTTTTCTTTTTTAGTTTGGAAGGAGGCTAAGAGAACAGGAAAAGTTCAGGGAATTGCTGGGGTGAGTTGATTACAGTCAAATGGTGTCTGTTGGCGAATCACAGGTAGTTTATCTTTCTCACATGTCGCAGGGGCTATGGGGCAGACCACACGTTGCCCCTACTTTGGCCACGCTAGTCGACATTCCTCACACCTCCCCCAACCCCAGCCAGCCAAACTCCGCTCCGCTTCATGTATCATTACACATTGACACTGTCTGATGAGGCCAGCAATGCAGGCCGGCCCAGACACAATCAAGTCCAAGGATGTGCAAAGCAAAACGATCTCCAACAACAAAGACCATCTGATTCTGATGAGGCGCCTGTCCGGAACAGTCAGGTACCTGGCATACAGAATGGCTTGATCATACTGATTTTCTATGGGAGACTTCAGGAACTTGACACCAATTCCCACATCACTGACTCCACAATCTTCTATATTCAAACACACCAGGAAGAATAATTTAAAAGACAGATGAAGGATTGAGGACTGTTTGAGTTAACCATATCATAGCTCATGTCACTATGTTTACCAATTTCTTTGTACATGTACCTGAACATGTACGAACTTCAATTTGCTTTAAATGTCAACAAAAATCTACTTAATAACTGACTTCTTACAGAAACTTTTATGGTAGCCATGTTGCATGGCAGTTCTTTTGTTCGACAGGGACACCTCCTTTATGCATACTCTGTGAAGCAAAAGAACTGTCCTGCAAGATGGCAGCCATGCAAAGTCTCTATGCATGGTGTAATAAAGCGGAATACAGCATGTCTGCTATCAATATACAGTACATAGGCCTATATCGATAAGGCAGGTGATCTACATGTACATGTAAGTTACAGTGGAGGTGTATACAGTCTTCTTCACACTCAATGTATTAAGTGCGCACACATGGGTAAAGTTGACATGTACATGTAAAGTTGCAGAATTCAAACGTAATTCATTATTTGGTACACTATTGCACAGTGGATTAATCACACTATCAATCAAATCTTCCAATTAAGAGAAAACAGCAAGACGACCTGACTTCATCCATTCACAGAATAGAGAATATGGGCAAAGGAACACACAAATTCATATGTTGCATTATCCAAAATATCTTTAATTATCAAATACATTTCAGTGCCATTAAAAGAGATTCCCCTAGGGCATTTGAACACCAGAATGTACAAAATATATGAATAGGTTGCAATTGGGGCACTGGGGAAATATAAGCTTTCTGCAATTTGGGGGGAGAGAAATTAAAAAAGGAAGATAATGGAACTCCTCTGAAATGCTGCCTCCCTCAGATGCCATCTGATACTGGACCATTTCCCTAACGGAAAGGAATAGGTGATTGGCCCTCATTGGTAATTTATGTTACAGAACAGGTGTTTCCCATCCAAGGGGAATTTTTTTTCAAAGTTCTAAAATCAGAGACATATAAAGGCATACAAGGCAAATAAGACTTGATTGCAGCGCAGACACATGGGACACAGTACCCCCACGAGAGACAAGCAGGAAAACCTACACAATCCTGAATCTGTGATAACAGGCCTTTGGCAAGGAAAGGAAGGGAGGTTTCATGTGTGCCATTGTGCAGGAGCATTTCACTGATATAACACTTACACTCATTAGTAAGACAAGACACGACAAACCTGACGTCAAAGGTTTCTGCCACTGTGTGGACTGATCAATAATTTATTCCCAGGCCAAACTAATCGGTTGGTGTGATTGCTACTGGACTGCAATTAATCAGACCCCAAGCCCGGACGAACAAAACAATAAAATTAGACAACACCCCCCTCCCCCAAAGAAAGCTGAGTGAGACGGCAGTGAGCAAGGTGGTTTGCTTAGTTCAGCTAAGCATTGGTCCAGATGGGCTCATAAGGGAAAAAAAAAGAAGAAAGAAATGGAGTGAAGAAGAAAAAATCTAATTTCCCTGAGCAGTGCTTTCAGCGACAGTATATGAGCCACTAGAGACTGCGTCCTTGGAATTCTGTGCCCTTGGTAACACCGCCACGCGCGCTGCAATGACGGCGAAAGCAGTAGTTCCAGAGCTAGCTACACGTGCAACGCGGTGGAAACTAATCGTAGAAGGTGTTGAGAATGCATTGAATGGTCCGCCAGTTCTAGCGTCAAAGAGGCAATACATAGGTTGAATGCAGATGGAGACTGCCACATGATGTGATTAATCAACAACACTGTCCCATTTTTTTTCCTTTTAGAGTTTTCACTTGCTCATTTTTTTTTCAGACCACAAAGACCTACATTCAGTCACCAAATCACAGATTCAGGATATCAGCTTACTCATTTTATTCATTAATATAAAAGGAAATTCAATGCTAAAATTTTCATTTAATTTGGACGAATGTGCAATAGCCACACTAACTGTGAAATCTTGTTCGACTCTACATGTTGTACATTTATGAGTTTTGTTTCTGATTCGCAGCATGTATTCTGCACAAGTACATGTACAGCGTAATGTGTTGCAGGGTGCAGTCCAACAATTCGAGCCGCACTAAAAACAGTACAAAATCAACATTGTTCAGGGCTCAGTAACATGCATTCCAACATCGCTGGGGTTTCTGAAACACAAATCTAATTATTGTCTGGTCCCTAATCTTTTATCTTCTGTTCAATTTTTTTGTGGGTAAACCAATGATTTTTTTGAAGCCTGCTTGCAGCCAGTTTTCAAGTGGCAGCCCTCAACTTTCTCAGACTCTTAGGACCATTTTGCAAACTGTATTTCTTAGCCATTCTGCTCTCAGATAGAAGCTCAAAGACCCAGGGAGTTGATCTTGGCAAAGATTTACACAATCTCACCATTTTGGGGGCCAAACAAGTGCCTTTTTCAATAGATACTGTTGAGGCACTTTTAATGCTAATGAGTTGGCCATAAATTCTCACTTGAATTAGTAGACTGGGCCCTTGCATCTCCATTTGGTCGGTGATTTATAAGTCAGATTGTTTCAATGTGAAGAGTACTGACACAACTTCCAAGACAACTTAAACCACATAAAGACAGCTAAGACATTTGCACCAGAGATCAAAAGGTCATGGGTTCGAATCCCATTTGAGTATAGCTTGCAAATTTTTAACAATTCTTCAGACAACACCAAGAATATATTGTTTATAAACTAAATGGCAATATGCCAAACATACATGATGAAAGAACATCTTTCTTCTCAGCTGCTGATAGCATGCAATTACTGAGGTTCCAAAAGTGGGGACACAATACCTCCCATAACCTGGCCTCTGTAACCATGACATCAAGGTCCCAACCACTGCATGCTTGTTGTCATGAACCGAGTTAGTTAAAAAAAAAAAAAATTATCAACTGACATGGTATATAAACTTGAGACTTTGAAATGGCTAAATAATGACTAGCCACATCCCAGACCTGTCTGAACATAATAGAGCTGATAATGGCTACCATAAGAGCCATCCTGGATGTTAACCTCTTTACCATATGGTAGCCCTTCAAACACATGCAAGTGCTTTATTTTTAAATTTCTGACAAACTAATAACTAAAAAAGGGGGTTACAAAACATCGATTTCTTACAAATACCATCAGATGCTGAATTGGCAATCCAAGCTAGGTTCATCATTTTACAAATTGTTATAAATACATGCCTTAATTATTTGTAACATGAGATTTTTGTTTACTTTTGTTTACAATTAGAATTAAAATGGAACAAAACTTCTGTCATGTATTCATACAGAGACTTTCCTGAAAATGAAATAAAAAAGTAAAAATGTTTTTAACTACAACATAACTGATAAACCTTGTGAATCTACGATAAACGGTAGACACCCAATACATTTACTTGTACATAAATGTGGAATCTTGTAGAAACAAGTGTTTGTCAAGAAAACAGTTCTTTGAACATGGCAGTTGGTCAGTTACAGTGTACATGTACATGTATGTTCCAATAAAGTAGGCCAACAGTACTGCATCGTCCAAAAAAAATAATATGACTTCCTTGAAATGTAAGAGACAAACATTTCAATTCTAAACAGTCTACAGATACATGT